TAAATGATCTTCTTTCTAAGACAGACAAAGTGAATGTTTACTGAATTTACTGAGCTTTCTGAAAAACGTGAAGTTATGTTCACTTCAATCAACCAATTATGTGCTACAAAAATCTAGTTTTCTAGGTTCCCTTACACATGACTGGGTAATCAAAGATAGTTTCACCTAATTTACTAAGCTAAGGCAACATTTTTGTTGCAATGTAAACAGTTTTTCCTTTTTTCTTTGTAAATCAACGCCAGTGTCAAAGGTGAACATTTGTGGGCTAATGAATGATCCCAGTTATGCCTCCCTTTTACTAATATAAAGGGGCTAATTTGCTAAAGAAGTTGAGAGTCTTCACTGAAAAGAATGTGCGAATATTCACTTAATGAAATCATGCATGTGAAAAGCAATGTCCTGATGACTTTAAATGCCCAACCATGTGCAGATGCTTTTCGCATGATTGGATATTTGAAGTAGATATTTACACTTTTTTTAGTAAAGATTCTCAAATTTTTAAGTTAATCAACCTTAAAGTTTCAGTCATCTTTTTGTCCTACCTGTGATGGATAAAAAAAAAGCAATACTGTCCAGCCTTACCTGTTCTTGGATTTTGAATTATTTTAACAGGTCTGGCCATATCTGACAGTTAAACACAATGAAGTTCCAAGAGATTCCAGGTTGTAAGAAGGATGCATACACAGATAGATTTTGTATGCTGAATAACAACTGCATCTTCCATCCCAGGCATTCAGTATCCTAATAGGTATTGATCAATTGCTGGAATCATCTGTGCCCCATATACAGCTTTATTAAGGGAAGCTTTGATCTAAAGCTAACCTGGCTAATGTCTGCAATAGTTAATGGGCACATAAAAACTATTTATACACTTTACTTTACATTGTTCCACCCAAGTAATTTTAACACAATCCATAATCTGTCAATACATGGTGCACAAACAGTCAAACACTGTTCTCCAATCAGGCAGTGCAGTTCACAGCTATTTTGTGATTATAGGAATTCAGCATGTGTCAAATGAGTGAACAGAAAGCTGCTTTGATTGTCAGATAAATAACATCCAACTGTAATATAACGTGGTTAAGAGCTTTAACTAAATCACCTTAGTTATCTGTAGTAATGAAATGCTATTTTATTTAAATGTAGGTTCTTGACATTTTAATGAGTCTATAGATGTACAGTAAGCTTCCCTAAGTGAATCGGAATCATCACAGAGGCTGTAAGCATATTTTAGATTTGATGTCTTTTGACAGAACAGCCACTTGTTTAATTTGCCAATTAAATATAGTGAAGTGTAGTAATAGTACATAAAAATACCTTCTTAGAGGGAGACTATATGTAATAAGATTTAGAAAAGGGTTTATACATACATATGATCAAGAACTTTATGACTTTAGTCAAGTAGGGGCTTGTGTTGACAGGCTTTGGGCTTGTGTCAATGGACAACTGCAGTTTGCTTTCTGGTGCATTGCACGTGCATGAAAGATTAGTTTGAGACACTTCTGAAAACATTCACAGATCATTGGCAGGTGGATTTGACCTGCAGTTACCTCTGTATAACCTGCATATGACCTACTTCCAAGCTCTATCAACCTGCTTCAAGCTGTTTTTTCAATCAAACTGACTGGTAACTTCCAATGGGAACACTAGTGCTGGTGATCCTGGTGACTACCA